TCCATTTTGCAATTGCATTAAGACTGTTATGTTAAGGCAGTTTTTTATTTGTTGCTCTATACATGCATCACGTGTGTTATGCCACTGTTTAATGTTTTTTTTTTTTTAAGATAAAGAATGAATTTTGAAAAAAAATAATAATAATAAAGCTGACGATACATTGTTTCTGTTCATCTGCTATTGTTCATCATTTGTAACAGGCAAAATGTCTGCTATATGAATAAGCTTCACACACACACACACACACACACACACACACACAACAGCCTAATTCAATAATTAGTTCCTGGAATCTTCTGTAAACTTCTGCAAACAACCAGAGAGACTAAAACTACATATATGAACAGCAACCAAAAAACAAAATATCAAAGAAAGTGAAAATGAGACACCTCATTTTGAGGGAAGCGGGTAGTGAAAGTTATGTGGCTTTGCAAGCTATTCTTTTGATAGCAGTTTACTACACTACACTAAAGCTGAATATATTTTATCATGTAGTTTCTGACAAAAAAAAATCAGAGTTTAAAATGAATCTCCTTTAGGTTGACAGCATTAAAATTACATTTACAATAAGTAACTACAAACTAGAAAGCTAGAGATGAAAACTTCATAAACAAAAAACATTAATTAAAACAGTAATGCACTTTTCTTTGTGTACAGATAAATTAACATTCACTGGTGAATGACAAATGTACACCCAACAGCTTTAAAGTAACATTACCGGTACTAGTAGTTTTATCATTCTGTATTTGGGTAAAGGCATGGTTTAGAAGATGGATTTTTCTTTGTACTCTCTCATTAATAGTATTTTTGTATTTTTTTTAATCAAAGAGAGTTAGTTTGAAATATTCTGCTGACAACCTAAAAATGCCATGCAAGGATTTTAATTACCATGAACCCTCAAACCTCACATTATCATCAACGACAGGCAGAACTAACCTGACCCTGGTCCTGTGTGAAAAGGGAATGTCCATTCAAACCAAAAGTTATATCAAGAGGAAGTGGTCAGGTTGTGGATATGAGTGTGTGGGCGTCTAGAAGCCAGCTTACATGTGAGAAAGAGTGCACAGGAGAACATAGGCATACATGTTTACTACTGCGCTTGATGGTATAACAGAGCTCCAACATCGCCAACAGTTGGTCAGTATCACAGCATTAAAAACGAAATCTGGAATAGACTGGACATAATAGGATCCCATTTCAAAATGAAGTTCCTCCGTGTTCTCTGGCTTTGGATGTTTCTGTCAGGTAAGTTCTTTATAGATGTGTGATTCAGTTTGCTGAATGATGAAAGAAAACAAGAGCTTTAAGCAGGAAAAAACAGCATGCAAGTTTTTCCACAGACCCCTGCCTTTAAAAGCACCTCATCTTCTTCAGGGCCATGTTAAGGCTTTTCCACATATAATTATGAGTTACTGCAAACCCCCAGGCTAAGAGTACATTTTAACCTGGGTAAAGCAATATTTTACTTTTGTAAGTCTATAAAAGTTTAGGGTTCCCTTAAAAGGGTCATCGGATGCCCATTTTCCACAAGTTGATATGATTCTTTAGGGTCTTAATGAAAAGTCTATAACATAGTTTGGTTCAAATTTCTCAATGGTAGTGTAAAAAACACCCTTTAAACCTGCCAAAAACAGCTCTGTTCACAGCAAGCCGTTATGGTGCATTTCCCTTTAAATGCTAATGAGCTCCGCTCACCCCACCCCTCTCTTCTGTGGGGTGATGCGCAGTTCTCTGAGAGAGAGTAAACTTTAGCCGCATTCGTCATGAAACTAGTGCATTACTAGGAAAGGCGATTTGCAAAATTCATTAAAAAAAAAATTATACTCGCTTCTGGAGGTGAAGCTGGATCATGAATGATTCGCACGAACATAGACGCATTTAGGTAGATCAGAGGACGTATTCCCTTCAAAAGCAAAGCTAATCCTCTGCGTCTTCAGCGGCTCAGATGTCGGGAGTAAATGACGACTGCTATGTTCAATATTACATCCAACAACAAAACACCTCAATCGCTTAGGAGACATTCTTGTCTACATCTGCTCCGGCAGTGAAACAATGGTGGACTGATGACAGCTCACTCAGGGCGGGTCTAAGGTGAAACACTAGTGTCAATCAACAATTGTGGGAGGGGCCTGGGTTTGTGTGACATCACACAGCCAAGAATCTGAGAACGGCTTGATTTTAGAAAGGGGTCATGATTTATCAATATTTTTCAAAAACCACTGTGTGGATTTTTATCATTATAGGGTGGTTGTGTACACACACTGCCAACACACATTTCATTTCAAACAACATGTAAAAGTGAATTTTGCATCCGATGACCCCTTTAAATTAGCCAATGAATGTTAAATGTTACAGCGATTAAGTACTCTGAAAAACAGTTGGTGTGGAAACAATTTTCACTCAAAAATTGCTAGTAAATTTCACAAACAGTTACAATTTTTGTAACTTTGGGAAACAAACATGAAATTTTGAATTACAAAATCTGAAACAATATTTTCTTGAATACCCTAATAATCTTTGTTTTATTTTTTAAATAATTGTTTCATCTACTTAAAAAAGACATATTTTAGTGTACAGTGAGAAGTAGGGCTGTGCAATATATCGAAATTATCGAAATATCGCAAATGTACATATCGCAATATGCATATCGCTAGAGCTTGAACAAAAGACAAAGAGAAAATCACTCACTGTTCTTACCTAAATAACTTTTGTAGCTTAAATAAGAATCAGTGCATATTGAATTCAAAGAGTAAATTCTAAGCAGTGTTGTATTTTTCATTTTTATTATTCAGTTCCTAAACTCATGTTAAAATGAAATTTGTATGTAATGCTCGAGTAAAACACTACCGTTCACTTTCAGAAGTTGTTGTAGGGGTGCTTTCTTATTAGAATCAGAATCAGAATGAGCTTTATTCACCACTTAAGTGTGCGCAAACACAAGGCATTTGTTGTGGTTTTACAGGAACTCTTGGTACATACATACATACAAATATATATGACACAAGATAGTTATAGAAGTTCACAGAACTGACTCAGCAACAGCTGAGTAAAACTGTTTCATCTGAGCATGTGGCACTTTAAGCATTATCGTATCGCATATCGAATATCGCATTATTTAATGAGTTATCGCATATCGCATTTTTCTTCAATATCGCACAGCCCTAGTGAGACGTTTTATGAACAGTGCTTACTTAATTCATTAAAATTAATGTGCTTTAGTGAGTCTAACAAACTTTTACGCATTTGGTTTAATTTAATTGAACAGTGATCGAACCATATTGAATTAAATGGAGTGAAGAAGAGACCATATTGTTTGTTTGCTTCTGTACAATTTTGCAATACTTACAACAACCAAAGCAGACATGGCAACAATTTATTATCAAACATGTTGAACTTATAAAAGTGCAAATAATAATGAACAAAAGATAAAAACCTAATGGCTCCAGGTTAACAGTTATAAGTATGGCAAAACCCAAATGGAGACATGGGTGAAAAACAGCAATAACCTCTAGCTGATTACAGAATGTCAAACTAGTTAATGTGTGTTAAATGTGTGTTAGCCTGATCTCTCTGACCTCTCTGGCAAGTTTGGTCCTAGAGAGCCACAGTCTTGCAGAGTTCAGCTCCAACCTTGAAAAAAGCGCACCTATGTAGCCTTAGTAATCCTGAAGACATTGATTAGTTTATTCAGGTGTGTTTGATTAGGGTTGGAGCTAAACTCTGCAGGACAGTGGCTCTCTAGGACCGAACTTGTCTACCCCTGTTCTGACCAAATAATTTCTCCACTGATCGTATCTGTCAGTTTACATTTGTGCTGTAAATAACACATTTATAGGAAATGAATACAGTGGTTGTGAAGCATTTACACTTCCTGTTGTAATGTTCCTCCGGACCAAAAGTACAGTAAGTGTAACAGTAAGTTATTTTGCAAATGAATAACTGAAACCGAAGAGTCTTGAAGAGGAACTGACAGTACCAACACAATATTTCCTACAAACTCCCTAACCCTAACAGACATTTGTTTATCTAACAGAATTTAATTCAACTACTGGTGAAATTTCTAGACAAGGATACAGTGAAGGAAGCATCACAATTACATGTTCCCACAGCTGGGCTTCAACCAACAAAAAGTATTTCTGCAGAGATCCATGTGGATACGGAGATATATTTGTGAAGTCTGACCAGACACCTAAAGGGAGATACACACTGAAAGATTATGGAGCTGGAAACTTCACCGTGAACATCACTGATCTACAGGAGTCCGACTCTGGGATTTATTGGTGTGGAGTGGATAGAGTTGGTCCAGACACATTTAAGAAAGTCATCCTGATAGTATCTAAAGGTAAGAATGATGAGCAATATTATGCATTTCATTACACTGCCAGATGATTAATCTTATATTCCTAATAGCAATATTGCATGTGAGACAAAGTAATGAATGGTTGAGTACGACCATGTTGTTTCATATTAAATGGCAAATTAAGAAGTTTTGAAGAGCTATTCTTTAGGCTGACACCAGAAATACAGACATGTCTTTGAAATTACTCTAAAACGTACAAATAGCCAACGCTGGAAACGGGGAAGAAGTGACTCATCACAGGGTGATGGAAACACAAACAAGCACTGAAATGCACTCGACTAAACCAAGACACTCCTTTTTCTTATCTTCAGCCACTAAGGACAGCACACTCTCACTGACATCAACAGGTAGTCAAACCTCTTAGTTCAATGCCTGCATTCTATCTTAAGGGTTTACTGATGTTGTTAAGTCCTCTTTTTAAAGGTTTTGTCAAAGAATCTGGTCCAGCATGCAAAAAAACTGACATTGACAAAACTGAAATATTGACATTTCACATACTGTATGTTATGTAATGTAAATCAAAAATGGTATGACCCAAATGTTTTCTACAATAGGTGCTGAACACAAAAAATCATCCTCAATTGTCCATATATTGCCAGTGCCTTTATATTATATTCCTTACGCTGCGGCTGGTCTGGCCATCATGGTCATCTTGTGTGCAGTTGGACTGGTCACTGTTTGTCAGTGCAGAAAGAGAGTCAAGAAGACAAGTGTGTAAACATTTAAATACTACATCCAAAAAATCTATTATATATATAACTATTTTTAAAAGACAGTTAAAAAACTGTATTCTTTGCTTTATTTCAGGATGTGTTATTGATAGATCTATATACAATTCCCATCACAGCGAGGAGGTGAGTGGAGCACAGAAACATCATAAGATCTGAGCCACCACAATCACAACTTCTGCTTATACTTTACAAGCCACTTCAACAGCTTATTACCAATAGAATGATGCTTTATGTCTTTGATTTAGGCTAATGCTGTTTATCAGAACGCTCCTGATGACAGACCCTACGCCACCATAAAGAAATCCAGAACCAAGTCTAATGATGAGAGCCAATCAGACCCAATCTACCAGAACCTACAGTTCAACACTACCCAGGGAGAAGCTATATATGGCAATCTATAAAACATATGCAATCCAATATCCTGAACCCCAAACACATTCTACATTACAAGCATGGCACAAGTTTGTCCGGACAATTTGTCTGGACATCAACACCATTTCTGAACAGTATATGCCAAAAATACCTTGGCAAAAAATGTACAGTACAAGGTTCAAAAACATGTCACATGGAAATATGATCACACCATTATCTGTGTAAATAAACATCCCTTTTGCATGTGAAACAACAATGAAGGGTTGCAATGCTACTAGGTTGTTTAATTTTAAATTGACAAATGTGTAGGGTTATTAAATTATTTAGCCAATACAGCTTACTGTTCCTTTAATGAATCGCTAGACTAGCCTGAGGTTAAGAGTAAAAAAAACACAGTTCCTAATATGTGAAACTAAAAAAGGGGTTGGAAAACAGTATTCGTCAATCACACTTACCTGTTCAGATAGTTTTAAGTTCTGTCCTCATTTCAGCCACCGTTTTGAGCAACTGACACCTGAGATGCTGATGTGTCTTTAACATTTCTCTATTGAGATCTGTTGAGTTTTCTCTATAAAAAAAAAAAACTGGTTGAAGCAGTTCCTCAGTTTAAAACAAGACTCAGAATTAGTCAAGAACTGTTAATGTGTACACCATCTACTCACTGCCATCCCTTACCAAAAAGTAGTATACTTCAAGTTTATTTTAGTATAGGGTCCAAGTTGCACATTACTGACAGGTATCCAGATCTAGATGGGGTGTAGCACATTGTTACTTTCAATGACTTCCAGACGCATCCTTACATTCTAAAAAGTGATACAACTTGGAATATAATGTATATCATTGGTTTGTATGCCACTATTGCAGTTGCAGCTGGATTTGGGCTCCTGTTTCTCATCATCATCATCATGCAGTACATTGTTTATTCTCGTTGTGGTCAAAAGTTATTTGTTTTTCAGTATTATTTTACATAATTCTATGATAAAACACAGCACCAGGTATCATATCGTTCACTACTAAGCATGTCTAGTTGTCAGACAAAAGTTTTTTTTTTTTTTAACAAAACAACCCCAACCACAGTTGGCAGCCCTGCAAAAGCACAGGATTGTGTGATATCATAAGCAGTGAGGGATACATCCAACAGTCGATCAAATGAAGGTATCTCAGTAGACATATTCTAGAGAAGAAGTGAACATGTGCATCACAATAAGACGTCGTGTTGAACATCCGCGCACTCTCAGAAAAAAAAGGTACAAATGTTGTCTCAGATAATATGTATGAACACTCATACCTTAGCTTTCTTCACCAATATCCAATAAAGTGAAAACGGTGCATCTTAAGACAGAACTACGGTGACCAAGAAGTGCAAAACAAATCACAATTCTGAAAACAAAATAACAAATTACAAACGCAAATGCAAATCTAAAAAACAAAATAACAATTCAGAAAACACAACAACAATTCAGAAAATACAATGACAAATTCGAAAACAAAATAACAAGTCAGAAAACACAACGACAAATCAGACAAACCGGAAAAGGTAGGTATAGTTTGAGACAGCGCCATTGGTTTGGGATTACTCACTGCTGACTGCACGAGACATATATATGTCACATGTATATATATATATATATATATATATATATATATATATATATATATATGTATATTATATAAAATATATAT